ATATATATATATATATATATATATGTAAGTGCATCTTGAACTATAGTCTTTAATCATGTTCAATCCTGATAATAAATTCGTGTTATTTTTCTAATTTCGTATTTGTTTTTTTTCTTTGTTTCATAACATTAAATACATTCCACAAATATCATCAAATTATCAAAATGTCAATATTTTCAATATATACATTTAATATTTGGATATCTGGGAATGTATATTATTTGAAAATAGACGCTATTTTTCTTTCGTAGATACTGTTGCACTTAACGTTGTTTGTTCTCTTTGATACCTAAAAAAAAACATAATTTAATCAAATATATGAAATATAATAAAGAAATAGAATGTTAAATTTTTTGTAATAATATGTTTCTTATACATATATAATTTATTTATCTCAAAACAAAAGAAATTCATATATTATTCATACATATTCGCAATAAATGTAATATATTAGATATAAAAAAATCATTATTCTTCGTAATATATAAAATTATTTCTTATTGTTTCAATATGATATGATTTGATACAATTTAAAATAATACTGTTGTATAATATTGAAAAAATGGACTTACATTATTCCTCGACTAACTTGATACAAAGCTGTTAGCGCGACGAAAAGATTTACGCTAAAAAGACTCCAGTTTTTTGGAGTGATTGCTAAAGAATATCTGGTCCAGATTAAGCCAGTAATGCCTAAGGCAGTTGATTGGCTAATGGAAATTTGACTTGCTGGCCTCTGCAGGTCACCGAGGCCAGCTATTACAAGTCCCTGTAATTTGTAAACTTCGATTTTTAAACTATTAAAATAGATTTAAATTATAAAAAAAAATAATAAAAGATGAATAATCAAGCAAATGCAAGATGTATTCAGACAATTTACTTTAAAAAGTTGACCTATTTAGATAGATTAACTGCAATTTATTATAAGATGCACGTGCATGCGCACGATACTTTAGAAATTTTTTTGTATATAAAATTTACAATTTTTTAAATTATAAATATCTGATATTTACGCGAAATAATTTTTCTTTATTGTTTTTTATGTTAAAAAATATATTGATGATATATGATCGATTTTATATGCTATTATGAAAATACATGAATCATTACGGAATAATTAAAGTGATCATAGTAGTGATGTGTATTGATCATTTTTTCTTATAATATTAATGAATATAATATTAATATATTAACGAAAAATATATTTAAATTAAATCTATGTAGATATATTATAATTAAAATAATTTTTAAATTTGTAAATTTAATGATAGAGTAAAGTCTGCATGCATTAATTATTTTAAAATAATACGTTAAAATTGCATTAAATAATTAAACATATTGAATAATAATGTTTAATGAGATGTTAAAAGTTCAAAGTTATTACTGACCCATTTAAAAGCTGGTGCCCAGAAGAATATAGTCTGCGGACCTGAAAGGGGAAAATAAGTCGATACTACTATTATATATTTTTTGTAATAGTTGCAATATATATTATCAATAGAAAATTTAAAAAGGAATAAAATAAAAATAATTCGTAATATAACGATAATGATTATGTCATATTTTCGAATTTACGTGAATCATGTTTTATAATGTATGCATATTACTTAATCATTTTCATATTTCAAGTTTCAAATTCTAATTACAAAAACTTAATTTGCAACAATTTTTAAGCTATTTAATTATATCGATATATTATTTTTAATTTCCTCTTTACGATATAAAAACTTATAAAGAATATAAAGAAAAATGCATAAAAATCTAGCAATCTAATATCTAGAGCAGCGTGTCATAGTATGATATGATTTACATGCCATAATAACGGTCAAGTCTATTTGAATTTACATTTATAAAAAGTAAGAAATGTCTAAAGTTTATAAAATATTACATGTACTTTTTATCTGCCCAGTCAAATATAAGCAATAGAATGACAGAAGCGCATATGTTCTACGCACGTGTTACTATTTGAGAAATCATCGATAACTTACTAACCAGCTGGATGATTCCACAGTGGTTGAAACTTCTGAGGTACAAACTTGCCAATCGAATTCATTGTATTTTTGTATATAACCGACATTGTTTTTTATGTGTTTACACTAAAAATTGTTGCTAAAAGTTATTCAAAGAAAAAAAATTAAATAATTAATTATTTGAAGATTATAAAACGAGTGAATATGAAAATGACAAGTGGTAAGACGATCCGCACACTGAGACTGAATATCGCGAAGTGCAACGATTGGTAGTTGCGCTGCTGGTATGAGTCGTCCATACTTTCCTCACCCCGCTCACATTTCCTGGACCTAAAGTGCTGTGATATATTTTGTATATGTAGTATGTCGTTATATTCGCATACTGTCGTAAATAATTTAGAATTTTAACAAATATTCTTTTTGATCAATTAATATGATATATAGTGATATATAATAGTGATATAATAATTAATGTGCGATTATTAGCACGTGGAAATATCTTTCAATATCGATTCGAATCGATATTCAAATTATAATATATTATCATAAAACATTTTTAACTACTTTTGATTACATATCTATTAGAATAAAAATAATATTATGATCTATAATTTAAATTAATTCTTCATTTTAAATAATATAATACTATTTACTTTATTATTTAATTAATTTCAATGAGTGGTTATGTTTCCGATACGATTTCAATGACTGATTTGTATATTTAGAAATAAGATTACAATTGATCATTATAATATTATATTATTTTAATTATATTCAATAATTATTAATATATTAATTTATTATTGTTAATTATTGATAATTAACAATTATTAGTAATTATTTAGATGTAATGAATTATTATTTAAGATTATTATTAAGATAAACATTTTTAAACAAATAATTATCAGTTATTAAAAAAAAAAACATACGTATATTTTGGCATTTTGAAATGTAAAATTTGAATTAACAGTAAACAAATTTTAATCTACAGTAATATAAAATCTCCGAATTTTACAGAGAATTTTAATTTCCTATTAAAACATGTGCATAATATAGTATAATCGACATTGGCCTAGAGTGTAAAATTAAATACTCTGTGGAGTGCCAAGTCGTACATTGCATGGTCATTCTCTTCTAAAAATATGTATACTAACCACGTGTAATTGCAAATTTACACGAAACGCAATTATTATTCCGCGTTTTATCCATTGAAAAAAGAAAACAAAATATATATATTTACAGAATTTTATTTACATTAGAATGTATATAATTTTTATAACGTCGTAAAATACAAAAAATGTTTTAAAAAATTGAGTTTCTTAATGAGAAAATGCAAACTTTGTTTTGATTGATAAAATATTATCATGAGCTTAGTATTGTTTACATTTTCCATAAATTGCACCACAAGATAAATACATTAGTCACATGTATTCTTATATCACAAAATAATTGATAAATATTTCGACATATACATAACTATATATGTAGTATCAGAATACATGAAATTTTTCAATATATATTCTAATTTGTGCAAAGTTGTTGTACTTAGAAACATTTAAGATTTTTTTTTATATATCATTGTTTTATTGTATATTTTAAATTATTTATCTCATTGGAACATTTATAGCAATCATATGAAATCAAATAGACTTGTTAAAATTAAAGAAATTGCAACACTGAGATAAAACATATGACATGAGAACTATGATTTTATGCACCAAGTACAATTTAATTTATTTTTTTTATATTTGGTATATAAAATAAATGCATAACTTAAGTATCTTATTTAAAAGGCATGTACCATAAATTGATTATTAACATATAATTTAAATATATTAAAAATTCAATGCAAATATATACTTTTTTTCAAGTATTTATGTTGTACATTTAAGGCACATAGTATAAAATATATAACAATAAAAAATATTGACTTCATAGTTCAGTAACGAATGAAATGAAAGTCCAAGATATGGAAGTTTTCTATAATTTATAAAATATTAACAATTATTACAATGTTTTAATATGATTATAAAGTTTCAATCAAATTTTAAAATTTATTATATTATTTAATTAAATTATAATTCATTTGATTTTATGATATTATTATATTTTATTTATTTATTTTAAAAATTTATTTTTTACATCATTTAATATAAACTCAAATCAAATTCTCTTCCATATCAATAACTTACATTTTTAATATTTTGCAATATTATTTTTAAATAATACAGAATACATAAAAATATAACATAATAAATTTTTTAATTAAAATTTTTAGGTTCGTTATATAATTTAGATAGATATTTTTCTCTCTCTCTTTTATCCTTTTTATTTTATTCAATAAAATTTCTAATTATTAAAAGTATTTAATTTTTTTTTAATTTTGCTAATTTTGCTTTGCGATAAAATACACTTGTATTTACAAAAATGATGTATATAATACTAAAATATATTTTATATTAATATTAAATAATACTTATGTATAAACTATATTGATATATGTATATATCTTATATTATAATGATATATAATTATATAAAATATGTAAAAAAGAGCATTTGTACAAAAAAATAAGTAGAATAAAGTTTACAAACTACATTTAGCAACTTGTATCACTTAAAGAATAATTCTAATACGAGTGCTTCGAATTATAAAGATAAAAATTTGTCTAAAAATTATATTATGTATAAATTCGTTATAAAAAATGCAGTAAAAATTGGAACTATAGTTTTCTTCTATGAATAAGAGATCTTATAATTTTTTTATAAATGCAAATGGCAGTAATATTAAAATATTATTAAGAAGTTTATACTTTTCAATATAGTTTTGAGCATTAGTCAATTAAATTATATGAAATTTTACTCACATTTAGCATAATCAGCATTATCATTAGAATCATTAAATTCTATTTATATTCTATTTTGTTGTAGTCATATCTACCATCAAAACTCAATATAACATAGAACTAATAATGAATTTTTTAAAGCAAGATTTTTTTTCAAAAGATTATATATAAAAATTCTAAATTAAATTAAATTATAAAAATTAATATTTGTTATTAATCATACCCACATAATGTAAAAGTACTGATTGATCCATATATATCAACTGTAACATATTTAGTAAAATCAGTAGATACACATATTTTAGCAAAAAAATTTGAAGGTAACTCGACAATAGCTAGTATTCCTGGTTGTTTAGGATCTTTACCCTCCTTAGATTTCCAAAATTTAGTTAGTTTATCTATATCATTCTTTGTATTTTTACCTTGTGGCTGATTTTGTAAATGGCAAATATATGAATCTATACTTTGACTAGTAGATATATGTGGAAAATCATTAGTTATTTTACTAACAGAAGGAGAACTAAAACTATGATTCAGTACGGTTCTTTTCTCCGATTTTGGTTTACATATTAAAGTAATATTCCACCAAATTAATTCATCAGAACTTACAGAAAGCAAAATTGGAATCTCAATCATAGAGGGAGCCCAATGTAACTGAGTAACTGAACTTGTATGAAAGTTCAATTTTCGTATTTCTTCGAGTGTAAATGTATCAATAACCTGGAAATTATTAATATTATAATAATCAATATTTCTTACGTAAAAATCAAAATAATTTATAATGAAGCTTACAGAAATGTTTCCATTTTCAAAACCTATAGCTAAATACTTTTCGTTTTGTGAAATTTCACAACATGTTAATTTATGAATATATGATAGTCTAGAATATTCTATTATCTTAATACATGCTGGATTTAATATTATATCTTTCTGTAATTTATATAAAACCACATCTCTATTTTCATTTAACACAGCTAAGAAATTCTTCTGGTAGCTTAAACAACTAAAGATTATCTCTGAATTTCCGTTCACTCTATCCGTTTGTAACCAATTCATATTTTTGATATTCCAAATTGTTATTATACCATTTCGAGTTATTGTTACTAAACATTCTTGATCAATCGTATGAATTGCAATAACGTAACCTGTATTCGGAATTATATATTTTAATTCTATGTTTTCCCACACCTATAAAAAATAAAAAATCAATTAAAATAATCAATTTTCTTCAATTTTTTATATAATATATTGCCATATGTTACCTGTAAGTTATCATCTGTCCCTCTACAAACGAGAATACCATTGTTAATTATATCGTTTTTCATATTTAATACTTTGACTAATTCCACATTAGATGAAAAGTTTAATATACGTATATTTTCTTTGCTTCTTGTATCAAACATATTAATCATACCTTTATCAGTAACATAAATTATTTTATCTGCATAAAGAATTAAATTATTTATTTTTCCATCAATTTGTTCAGTTTCTGCTATTTTATCATCACCAATTAATGTAATAATAGTATTTGAACATGTTTCCATAACGATAGTATCCGAAGTATTGCCAAAATTCTGTACTTTTGCATCAAACAAAGGTTTTTTTATTGATATACCAGTTCCTTCTACTGGAAATTTCCATTTATGAAGTAATCGATTTTCACTTCCACATATAATGTGATATCCTTCATCTTTTAACCAATATGTGTCCAAAGAAGAAACACGACTTTTATAAGTAGTTATTGGATGAAGTCCAATATTTATATTCCATACATTTATAAAACCGCTAGAATCAGCTAAAACTATATACTGACCATCATCAGTCATACTGGCACAAACATAAACGGTTTTTTCATTTTCAACACTTGCTCTTACTTGTTTATTATAACTATGCATATGATTATTACTTGATCTAAACCATTTCACATATATGGCTTTTTTTTGAGTAACAATAAATAAAGAATTATTTTGTAGTGGCACACTGCAGAAGAAGATAATTTTCTTCTTTTTCAAATCTAAATTGTATGTTGATATATATTCATATTTATTACCATATTTACAATATGATATTATAACACCATGTATTTCATCCATTATATGAAGTAAAGAATTAATAATATTATTATTATTTTCCAATGTAAATGCTATATTTTTAAGAGAACTAAAAAATTAATGAAATTAATAATATTTTAATTTTTTCAATTATCAGTATGTAAATATCATCAATTATATTTACCTTTGGGGATTATGGCCGTGATTTGATAATATATTTCCATGACAATCCCAAATCTAAAAAAGAAATTATTATTTTAATTCAACGAAAATTTATTAATATAAATTTCTAATTATATTTATTTATACCCTTATTGTTCCTTTATTTGTACAAGCAGCAATAGAACTACTATCATGTGAAAATGTCACATCTAATATAATTTCATTAGGAACAGAAAATACTACTGAACTATCATCACGAGGAATTTTACTTGTAAAAATTCCACTCCAAAAAGATTGCTTTTGTCTTGGACTCAATATAGCATTATTACTTTCTTCATAATTTTCATCATCAAAAATTTTAATAATTTTACTATACCACGATCATCTAAAGATAAGAAACAATCTCCCTCATTACATACAATAATTTTTTTTATGCAACAATTTCTGTCATGTCCATTGAAAACTTTTTGCCTTTTGAAAATGCTATACCATAAGAATATTTCACCCGATCGATTTCCAATTAATATAAGATTTGGATCATTTATAAAACATGATGTAGATATTTCTGTTGACATTTCTTCACTCAATGGTATATCTATCTGTCCTGTTTTATCATGAAATAAATATAAATATTTAGATCTTCCTTTTGCAAGTTTAATAGTAGTATCTTTAATGTATCCTGGATAAGGATGGCTCATAGCAATTTGTACTATATCTAAGCATTTTTTTCGTCTATGTTCTGCTATAGTACTTGAATTTTCTTCTAAAAATTTTTCCAAATCAACAAAGCGTTTTTCATATTCTGGATCACAATCTTTGGTAATATACTTTCTATAATTGTTTAAATCAATCAATAAATTATTTAAACCACTATGAACTATTGCTTGTTGGATGAAATCAAAATCTAAATATATATTAGGAAATTCATCATATAATTTTGCTTGTTCCAAATGATATCCAATATATGAATGACTATAGTTATCTGCTGGTAATTTCGAAAAATCACCATTGCAATATTTACGATATTTCTTAATCAATGATTTATGCATTTGTATTAATTCATTTTTTGAAAATTTTTGTCGAAGATGACAAAGTAATAAATCATGAACACCGTATATATAACTGCGTAATTCATCATTCCATTGTTTAGCCGCAAGTGACTTATGACATAAATCAAGCATCATTTCTTCAACCTGAAATAGACTGCCTTCCCACAGAATTTCTAATGTCTATAAGATAAATAAAAAATATAACAATACATGTTAATAATCATATGCATATTTATTATATTTTTTATGCATATTTTTAATATATAAATATAAGATAATGTTAAAATCATGAATTTGTACCTGTGGCGTTATGTTAACATCTTCTCTAAAAATAACTAATTCTTCATAACGTTTTCTCATTTCAAGAGGTAATTGTTCTATACACATATTAAAAATTACTTCTTGTTTTTCCCAAAATTTTTTAATTACACTGAAAAATATATAAAATATCTATTAGTTGAAATTATGTTTATACGTATATAAAATGATTTAAATACATTTATATATATTTAAAATATTACTGATTATTTTCATCCTTATTTCTTAATGAATTTAAATAGTACTTCCATCTGTCTGGACGTAATTTCATATCATGTTTAAATTCCTTAAATTGAGCAGAAAACATTGCAATTAATAAAGGCATTCCTTTACATTCATCATGAATTCGTTTTGCTTCTAAGGGAAGATTTTCTATTTCTGTATCTAATACTTTAGCAAACAGACCTAAAGATTCTGTCTCGGTAAATCCATCATTCATCTATAAATAATTGGTAATTATATATTGAAAATTATCATGCACAATTATCATACATAGAAAAAAAAATAATTTACCTCAATCACACGAGGTCTTTTTTCCCATACAACATCAAGGTCAGCTGTAATTACTAATGTTTTGCAGCCAAAATCAAATGTTTCAATTATTTTTGAATCACAAACATCATCTAAAATTAATAAAGCATGACAATGTTTTTCTCTACTAAAATGTTCTTGCAAAAAATAAATTAATGAATCTTTTAAAGATTCTGGCTTTAATGATTCTGGGACTATTTCCAAGTTCTTGACACGATGATACAATGTATTAAGTTGAAATAATATCTCTTCATCAACTGGACGTTTATATCCAAATTTGATCCAATACACTTCATTCTAAAAAAAATATAATAAATTATTTAAAATATCATGTAAAAATTAAAAATTTTATATTAATATATAAGCTTATAAGTTAATTATAAAAACTTACATAAAATATATTTCTTACAAATTTCATGTTCTTTAATGTGCTAGCTGTTAAACATGATTTACCAAAACCTTTCATACCATGAAGTACAATGTATTCATTTGGTTGTAATTCTTCCAAATAACTTTGTAACTGTTTTATCTAAAATTAAAAACTATTAGATTAATTTTATATAAAAATTATATAAAAATTAAATTAATGTTACAAATATTTGACAACTTTTCTTTTTAAACTTACATATTTTGATTTCCATAAGTATGCATATAAAATAACAAATATGATAATTAACAATAAAAATTAATTCTTATTTTACAATTTATTAAATCAATAAAATAAAAATGAATGGAATACTTTTTAATATTTTTAATATTTTTAATATATTTAATATTTTAATGATATATACCTTTGCCTCTCTTACAACAGTTAATGGTGATGTTGGAGGAAGAGTGGGTGTATTGACATTCTTTATATCACAAAATGATCTTACACTTTCTTCGAGTTTATCCATATCATTACTTAACCATTCATAATGATGTTTTAAAGCTTGACGAAAAATATCAAATGCACTTGGACCACAGCTAAAAAATAGATAATAATTTTATACATTATATTTAAATGAAACAATTGCTAAAACTTAGATAAAAAAATAAGAATAGCTTAGATAAAACATTTCTAAAAAATTTTATAATAAATTTATTATATAAAATATAAATTAAAATTAATTTTATGTATTATTGTTACCTTGGAAGTATATCTAATAAAATTTCAGCTTTTTCTTCTTTAGAAGCACCATCTTCAATTCTTGCTATTTGTATATCTGTTAATATATATTCTGATTGCAGTAACTTTATAATACCATTGTGTACATCCATATCAGCCATTATACTTTTTCTTAACACTTTGAGAATATGTTGATGTAATTTATCCATTTTTATATTTTTTATGTGTGCTTATATCATATTAATTTTTCTTTAGTTATTAGTTTTTAACAAATTTATCTAATAAAAATTTAAAAAAAAAAAAAAAAGAAAAAAATAAAACTCTTATTGTAAGTTAATATAACATAAGAAGTTAAAGGTCATAAACATACATATAACAGGATATAATTCTTATTTCTAAATATAGTAATTCAAGGTTTACAAAGCCTTGATAGACATTATACAAAATTTGAAGAGGAATTCTTCTATTTTATATTTTACATAAATATATTATGAATATTTTGAATGAAAAAATATGAAATTAATTACATTTTAATTTTTTTTTATTTCATAAATGTACATATTTTATTCGTACAATTTTAAAAAAATTAAATAATATAGTATACACAATACTAATAAAATATAATATATATACATGCATATTTTATATATATATATATATATATATATATTTGCTTTATTGTTTTTGAAAATTATTTTATTTCCAAATTTTATTCTTATTATATTAACATATAAAAAATATGTTAAAAAATTCTTATTTAATATAATAACGTTACCTATTTTCGTAACGTTAAATTGATAAAATAGAAGAGGACTACGGTCAATGACTCCAAATTCAAACATAAATCTTATGATTGTTTGATAAATTTTTGAAAACAAAATCTTACTAAATTTTACCTTATTATTAAAACTGCTTGTTCAAAATATACAATTATCCTTCTTTTTATATAGTCTTTATTTGATAAATAGAATAATCGAATTACTATTCAACTTAACTTCATCTCACTGTCTAGAAGAAAGTGACACTACTACTGTCTGCCTGAGTCAGACAACATTGTTGCCAAATCTATAGATCAAATTCACAATCTGATTGGTTGTTGGTATCACACGATATCAATTTTCCCGCTATTTTTAAGCTCAAAAATTTTCTTTAAATATTATAATTAAAATATCATAATGATATTAAAATAAAAAGACAATAAAATTAAATAGACAATAAAAGATTTAATATTGTTAAAAATATTAGTCTTAAAAATATAAAAGATCAAAAATATAAAAGTATAATTGATAAAAATCATATGCTGTGTATTTTCAGTTATTTAAAACTTATTGGTGAACAAAAATGTAACTTCTAAAGAAAATAAAATATTCTTTGTTTTATTGAAATATATATATATATATAATATAAAAATATTAAAATATTAATAATAATAACAAATATTCTGTTTCTTGTTTTTTCTTATTAAAAATATTTAAAACATATATTTTTCTACGTATATTCAATTATTAAAAGAAATTTACTTTTCTTTAAATAAATAACATATTAATTAAATATATTAAAATTAAGTATTTTTGTTACTATAAATAGCGATAAAATTTATTTATAAAATTGTAAATATTTTTAATATAAAATAAAAATTATATAATAAAAAAAATTAAAAAAAAAAATAACCCTGCGATGGCCGGGAATCGAACCCGGATCAACTGCTTGGAAGGCAACTATGCTGACCATTACACCACCATCGCAGTTGAAATCTTATGCTTTAAAGAAGTTTAATAAATAAGAATAAGTTATCTGAATCAAAAAAGAACAAGGTTTTTTGAAAGAAAAATAAACTCTGCGATGGCCGGGAATCGAACCCGGATCAACTGCTTGGAAGGCAACTATGCTAACCATTACACCACCATCGCAGTTGGAAGAATACTTTCACATAGAGAAATTCTAGTTTCGTCATATTGAAAAAACTATTATTCAAATCTTTTTTATGTTATAGTTTCTAGAATTTCTATTTTCACAATTTCACTTAAGCTTTAACCTTTTTCTGATTTATTAAATTAATCAAAATTGAAAATTATTACATATTAAATAAAATTAAAATGTTGAACAAATATATAAATGAGTTTTTAATGTTATAAGATTTTAAATAAAATGATAATTATATTATATATAATAATTAAATAATAATATGAAAGTGAAAATAATTTATGTCGATATATATTTATTGAAAATTTGAAAACTTTTATTTTATCTTTCAACTCTTATCCTCTAATGATTCTTTGAAACAGCTACGACTGTTCTTAAGAACAGACATTTGTATATATCACATTGTTCCTTTTCAAATGTTTACGAGTTTTCACGAATTATATAAATGAGCATAATAGTTTATAATCATTTGCCTGAGGACACAAGACATTCTACCATTCGCCAAAGAGAACGCGAAACAATAACACGAAATCTTACAATTCTCTTTTCAAAATACAATACCGTCGCAAAAACTCATCATATCTTCCTTCCTTAAACTCACTTTCAACTTTAAAAATCGAAATATCGAATTTTAAAAATGATACGCGAATATGATAAAATTTAACTATTATATTACGCGAATTAATTTACAATATGTTCCGAAATTCATGGTCGCGAGTGAGCACAACGACACTTGCTATGATTCCACGAAATTTAAAGATAATGGATCGCGACGCGTGCAACGCTATTATCATCTGCGATACGCACAAAATGGTATGTAATTCATTTCACGCAAGTTTTTATCATTTATTAAAATCGATTGTAAAAAAAAAAATTAAATCTCAACGATTAATATCTGGACAGTTTAATAACCGACGGTTTGAATGGTTTAATAAGCACACGTGAGGTTTTGTTCTCGGTTCATAAATTAAACAGCATTACCTTTTCATAACGATGAGCCCGTTCTTAAATCTCTCGAGAGAATCTCTCGTTTTATCCCTAAAAATGAAAAAAGTTTGAAATTTGCGAAACGGGTGTGTTGTACCCGTTGCGGACTTTATAAAAGTAACTTCATCGTTGCGCACAATTAAAAAACGAAAGTTGCGCCATATATAAAATTTACGGACCATTGTATTATTAATTTGTTGACGCGTACAACGAGGAAAGTTTCACTTCGTTTTATTTCAATCGCGATTAAACGATACATTCGAAACGATATATTCAGAAATTCCTGTAATTTATTGTACGTAATATACACGGCAACATTCGATTCTCAACAATACGATCCTTGACGCGTGATCTCGTGAACAGTTCGAAAATAAAACGATCGTGAAACATTGGAATTGGGGTGAACGAACGTAGGATTAGCCGATTAAAAGATCGAATCTATCTTGAATAATTCCATAACTCGGTGTCGTTATTGTTCCGCGATACGGGATTGCGAAAATGAATTATTCGATTGCTATAGCCGTCCATTCGAAGCTTGACGCGTATAGGTGCGCTCGATGGCCCCGGCGCGTTACAGAGACAAGCTGTGAATTCGATTACAGTTAGAAACAGCATTTGGCGCTCAGCCCGCATTAGCCGTGCATTGGCTACTTTGCCCGATTAATTTGTCGCGGATTCACTGTCGCGGAAGCGCAATCGTGTCGCTCGCAAGATACGCGAATCGCGCCCATTTTCCAGCCCCGCGAGACGAGATAATCGATACAACATCGTCCTATTAATAAGGTGGCGTGCATCTAATTAAAGAGAGAGAAACGGCAAAGGATAGGACACGCGAACTGCAATTTCAATTTACAAATTTACAATTTAAACTGTGCACTACAACTTTACAGGGGGTAAACGGGGTGGAAATGTCACGAAAGTATTTCTTATCATCCGTAGCAAAAGTGACGGATAGAGGGTGGGTGCGCAAAAATGTTCGCTCGATCGTGATGAGAATGCATTAGGATGAAGTGTGGAAATTAATCGTTTATTTCTTTAATTATGAGGATATCTCATTAAGGGAAAAAAAATGAAATTGTACTGTGTTTACAGGGATGGAGTGGATGCCGTTTATCCGCGAATTTGCATATCGCGTGTACGGGTTTCGTCCAAACGAAAGGCGCAAACGTATCCTCGCGCATAGTCGATTATTCGCTTCTCCTTTTTCAACTGGTTCCTCGATCAAACCGACCAAGTTTCCAAACGATGCACAGCGAGAGAGAGAGAGAGAGAGAAACTTCATCCGTTCGTCCGCGAATTTATATCTCGATCCCCCGCGACAACGCGAGATTACTCGCAACTTATACTCGCCGTATATCCAACGATTCGTTCGTATCCTTTCAATTCATCCGCGATAACTTGGCGCACCAGTTTTCCAAAACTTGCACAGCCGAAACTTGGCAAACGGGAGAGTTCATTGGCCCCCTTCCTGTCGTTATTTATTTACGTTTTGTTTGCCCGCCGGCGGGAAAGGAGATTTCGCGTTCGAAATACAGCGTTCACGCGGGGGGAGAAGACGGGGAGGAGGATTGAAGAGGGAAGGATGGGGGGGAGGAAAAAAGAGAGAGAACGAAAGAAGAAGGAGAGGAAAGCTGGAATAAATTTCGTTCGAGTTAATAGGATATTCGCCTATTGTCTGATCCTCTGTTCTCCGGTTTCCCCCTCGCCACCCCTCCCGCTCACCTCCTCTTCAAAGACCGGACCGATTGTGAGAGGGTAAATTCGAACCTCTTAGGGCGTTGATCGATCGCCACTAGTCTAAGCACTTCAAATAGTGCGATCGTGGTATGCGATCAGGAATGGCAATAACGTTGATAGGATGGTAATATGATTATCACCTGCGCGCTCCTAAGAGGACTCGTGGTGGGTGTTACACGTATAATTAGAGATGGGATTTGAAGAGGTTCGGATAAGGGTTAAGGGATAAGGGGAGGGGAGGGAGGGAAGGGAAGGCGCAAGTATAATGCCATGCAAATACACCTCATCCTGGCGGCCAGGAATAGAGAGTGCATTAATCCGCTAATGCACACGGGTCCCGGCGCAAAATTAGATTCGGCCAGATTTAGTTGGAAACGCGATATTTCAGTGTCGACTGAATTCCAAACGACTCTGGTCCGCGTCCACGACTCTCTCTTTCGGACCTTCCGTTCCTCCGAACGGTTTCCACCACGGGCGAACCGTGAAACGTTGTTATCCGAGAGGCAGATTAATGTCGATACACGCGTGTACACGCATACAACGTATCCAACGTGTTCTCGATCGATGCGACGCGCGTCCTTAATGCGCGGCATTAATTCAAAAATTTACGATCATCCGCGCCCGTCGATCGCGAGCCCGACCGATTTACAACGCGTTATCGTCCTAACGCGATGGATATTCCACGCTCGGATTACCCACCGTCGCCGCGATGCCAATTTAATTTAATAGGATCAACTCATTTCCACTCGTAAATTCACCATTAATTAATAGCTCGCGCCCAACCTATTACGCGCTTTTAATCGCGGGTGTAATAACGATTTATTAAGAAAAAAAGAAGAAAAAAAAAAGGAAAGGAAAAAAGGACGAAAAATTTTTCTCCTTTTTTTCGATAAGCGATTTTCTCGTTTCGATATTTGATCGATCGTTCCAAACTCGTGTAACTTGCACGTGGATGGCACCTCTCGGCCACGTCTCTCGGGAGCAACGTCTCTCTCCGCGGTCGCTTTTAACGATCCTCGAATTCCAGCAGCGCGACTTGACCTCTTCTCACCGGTCCGTGCGCCACAACGGTACAATGAATTTCCACGACCGCTCGTTAAAGGATCTCTTCTTCCATTTCGTTCCACGCTCGTTTTTTAACGCGCGATAAACAACGACTCGTAACTCGACTCGTCCAAGCGAATTCTCTCTCTTCCTTCTCCTCTCAGGTTCCGAGCCGGAAAACCTTTCCCTCGAGGGGGAGAAAAATGCGCGCGTTTAACGCGATGCCTCCTTCTTTCTTTCGACGATCGACGCGTCGAACGTGACGATTAGTCCCGTCCAATTAAATTTAACGAATTTCCACGAGCGCGGCTTGATTGGTTTCATTAATTACGCA